GTATATACTTTTAAAATTAACATAAGAAGATTTAGAAAAATAGGATAGAAAAAAAAGAAAAGATTAAAACATTGTTTCAAATTTTAAATATTTGATGAATGAATTCTTGAAACAACTTGTGAATGCTGGAATCGATCCGGCGGCACTTTACTGGAGGTGATGAGGTGACCATTACGCCAAACGCGCTGTGAATGAGATCATCGAAATATTATATACCATTCAGTAACATAAAAATACGATGAGAAAACACTATATTTATATGGGTATTGTATAGCTCGATTGCTCATTATTTGATTTCGATTTATTCAAAGTTTGTTATAAGTTATTTTTATCTTTACCCTCGTTTTTATTTAAACTTATTTACTAAATAATTACGTATACCGACACAAAAATGATATTTAAATACCAAGATGTGTGTGATAGACGAATGTTTCTATACATATCTATTAATATGAAATTACCCACACATGTATATTGTGTAGTCATACTAGTGTCGATGTGTAGCGCTGCGAACTAATTAACGGTGTTTTGTGTACATTGAATATTTTTATAAAAAAAAAGGTACTTGGGGCGTGATCTACCATCGATACCGAAGCCAAAAATATGGTTTTTAGAGTTTTTGTTTGTTTGTTTGTCTATATGTATGTCCGGGATGATCTCCAAAAGTACTGCATGGATTTACTTCAAATTTTGCATGAATATTACTAACAGCAGCTGTAGCCAAATGACATTTAGCCCTTGTCTACACGTAGAATAGAAAACCAAATTATATGGAATTGACGTAATTTTTGTTTTCCCCATATATTTTGTTTTCTACTCTCTCTGTAGACAAGAACTAAAGTGGCGTTTGGCTAAAGGCACTGGTCGGGTAAACATAATTATAGGTATATTATCACGCTATCATCTACGGGGAAAGAGCTGTGAATCGTTATTCTACGCGGTCGAAGTCGCGGGCAACAGCTAGTCTACCTATAAATGTTTATTTTTACCTATTTATAAGTCACGAAGCTATCACCAAACGGTATTTAAGAAATATCAGAGAACACCGGTCATTGACCCTATTGTTCTCATTACATTGACCAAGGTCGTTGAAAGTTTTATCTACAAGAGAAAATAAATCTTAATGCAGTTGCTTAAATGTGATTTTTGAATAGACAACGATCTGAAAGATATTGGTTCGGTCAATTTCAGATTGACACGTTGTTCTTGTGACCTCGGGCGGTAAGCATGCGGTCGTGGCAAAGAGTATCCTTACTAATATTATAAATCGGAAAGTGAGTTTGTTTGTTTTTTCCGCTTTCACGCCGTAACTATCAAACCGATTGCTTTGAATTTTTGCAGACGTAAAGTTGGAAGTCTGGATCAAATAATAGGGTACTTTTATCCAGGAAAAATTTGATATTCCCGAGGGAAAACAAAAGTATTGGTATAGATGGCGCTGTGTGTATTGGTATATGTCACATAGGCTACTTTTTATCCTTTTGTGACGCGAGCGAAGCCGCGGGTAAAAGCTAGTAGGTAATAAGTATAGGGGAAGGTCGTTGGTTCAAATATCCGGTCAAATCTATACTAATATTATAAATCTGAAGAGTTTGTTTTTTTGTTTGTTTGTTTGAACGCGGTAATCTCCGAAACTACTTATTCGAATTGAATAATTCTTTTTGTGTTGGAAAGTCCATTTATCGAGGAAGGCTATAGGCTATAAAACATCTCGCTACGACCAATAGGAGCCGAGCAGAGAGATTTTTGATTATACTATGATGTGAAAGATATTGGTTCGGACAATTTCAGATTGACACGTTGTTCTTGTGACCTCGGTAAGCATGCGATCGTGGCAACGAGTATATTAAGTATAGGGGAAGGTCGTGGGTTCAAATACCCGGTCAAATAAAGTATAAGTATTTTTAGCAGGCGATTTCATCTTGTAATTCTATGTAGGTAATGTTACGAAATTGGATTACATCTTATTATAAACTCGTCGAGTACCGGTTTTGTAGACACAATTATAGAACAATAGGTTGCGGTCACCGGTGACCGCTTGGTGTTTGACAGTTTAATATTATAAATGGGAATAGTTTGTGACTCAATCCCTTCAAAACGGCTGAAGGGATCGTAATGAAATATGGAACAGGGATTTTTTTTTAAGGGGGGAAATTCATTGAATGACTGCTCCCGCCTGGGTGTGGCGGGAGGGAGTGTCAAACTCTCCACCCCGTTCCTTCTCCTGCACGTTGAGCCGGAGTCCCGGTAACTCGTTAGGTTCTCCGCGACTCCGAATCGGCATCGGCCCTGTTGGTGGGCCCCATCTGTAGTGGTTTGATGGCTCTTTGAGGCTTGACACAGGGATAGATTATGATTTTGAATAACACATAGTCTGGAATATAGACTACTTTTAGCCCACGGAAACGCGGGCAAGGCCGCGGGTAGACGGGGTAGCAACCGGCTGCCATGCAACGTGTCGCGGGTTCGATTCCCGCACGGAGCCACTCTTTGTATCCACAAATTGTTGTTCCGGGTCTGGATGTCATGTGTATGTGAACTTGTATGTTTGTAAACGCACTCACGATACAGGAGAAAATTCTAGTGTGTGCCATGTTTAAAAAAAATTAAAAAAACACCCACTTTTCACTATTTATGTTATGACTCCAATATAACAGCAGATAAGCCTTTTTTTAGATTTTTCCCCCCTTGATTTTAAAGTATCTTACGTAAAAATCATGCCCGATACAAATCAGGCATGACTTTTAACATCATGCTATTACTGAGATGTTAAAATCGCAACGTATCCCAATAACACTTACCACAACCTGGAAATCGAACCTGGGATCCATTGTTCGGCATTTACGTTCACTAGACACAATGTGATAATACGCTCGTCTTCTTTTTTTTATGGTATAGCAGGCAAACGAGCAGACGGATCACCTGATGGTAAGCGATCAGCGCCGCCCATGGACACCCACAACACCAGAGGAGGCACAGGTGCGTTGCCGGCCTTTTGAAAAGGAATACGCTCTTTTCTTGAAGGTCGTATCGGTTCGGAAATACCGCCGACGACAGATCATTCCACAGTTTAGCTGTGCGAGGCAGGAAGCTACGTGAGAAGCGCACAGTTGTGGCCTGCCAACCATCTATATGATGGGGATGTATATTCTGTCTTGAGGGTCGATGGCGAAAAGATACGGCAGGTATCAGGTCAAACAATTTCTCAGAGCACTCCCCGTGGTATAAGCGATAGAGAATGCACAACGAGGCTACATCTCTACGCATTGCAAAGGGTCTAGCCGGTTCGAAACATCCCGACATCCAACAATCTGAACGGCACGCTGCTGAACGCGGTCCAGAGGAAGAAGCTGGTACTGGGGTGCCCCCGCCCAAAGATGAGAACAGTATTACATGAGTATCGGATGAAATAACTGTGAAAAATGAATTCAAGCCATGCTTCGGCATGAATGGGCCGGCTCGACCGGAGTGACACCACAGCCGAGCAGAAATCCGACGTGAAGAAACGCTTGCGTTGTTTCGTCGTGTGAGTGAGGTTACCGGAGGCCCAATTGCCCAGTCTTCCCAGTCCTTGAATACTCAACGGTACTCAAACTTCTAATATCCAAAAGGCTGGTGGCGCGCTTGTAACGCCTCTGGTGTTCCAGGTGTCCATGGCCGACGCCAATTGTTTAACATCAGGTGATCCGGCTGCACGTCTATCGGCTTATCCTATAAAAAAAACTGGTAAAAATTTTACCCAACTCTGGTCTAAAAACTGTTGCTATAGTTTACAACTATCCACCGATAGATGGCGTTATAATAAAAAAACCATAATCAAAGACAATCACTTTAATAATAATAATCACATTTATCACAAATTTATATATTGTGTAAAACATTTTGAGTTATAAATAGTTACTTAAATACATTTTTAAAACGGTAATTATTGTTACCACACACACAAATATTATATTTTTTAAAAATCAACAATAGTCCTGGGCTAGTATCGATATGAATTTCGACAAAATACCATCGTTAGGTAAAGTACAACAATAAGTATTCAATGTCAAAACTATACAACCCCTATCATAGCCGTTAAAATAGCATTCTGAGTACGAAATGTGAAGCCAAACTCAATACCATTTAGTTCCTTCAATATCCACGCAATATGGATGCAATGGGCGCTAGTATTGCAACTCAAGAGTACGAAATTTCACAATACCAATGTCGATCTATCGGAATTGGATTCAAGAGTAAGGCTTACTCTGTGTTTAGTCAATAAGAGTTTGACACTCCCTCTTGCACCACAGAAGGCGGGATTGATGACTTGCACTCGCAATCGGCGTCGCCCATGGACACCTGGAACACCAGAGGCGTTACAAGTGCGTTATCGGCCTTTTGAGGATCGTTGGGGATTCAGGGATTAGGGAGATTGGAGAAGGAGGGGGGGGGGAGTAATAGGGCCTCCGGTTACCTCACTCAAACGACGAATTACAACGCAAGCGTTGCTTCACGTCGGTTTTCTGTGAGGCCGGGTATCACTCTGATATGGTATGATTGAAAAACTAAATAAATAGGTACAACTAGCAGTAGAAAACGTCGTAACGTGTTTTTACCTAATTGAGTGTTTTTTATACAATAATTAATTCGATTGCACTATTCCACACATCAACAACATTATTTAGACGCCAGCATATCAAGCTACCTGTCTTTCTTAATTTATAACCTTATTTTATGTGCAATAAGGTTTACAATGAATCATGTATTTAATAATGTCTTTATTCACTATATTTTTAAACTTATTTGTTTTATTTAATTAAAAAAAAGAACATAACATAACATCACGCATTTTATTCCCGAAGGGGTAGGCAGAGGTGTACATTACAGCACTTAATGCTACTGTACCTACAATGTAACGCCCACTTTTCACTATTTATGAGTCTCATGTAATAGGGGGCACAATTCCAGACACCGCACTACTGAGATTTTTGTAAAAAACCCTGTAGTACTTTGCCCGACCCGGAAATCAAACCCGAGACCTTTTGCCCGGTAGTCGCCACTTGTGACCACTCGGCCAACGAGGCAGTCTAAGAAAAATCAGTTACACACAGGAGTCCAGCCCGCTCGTTTGCCTCCTATTTTAAGTAAAAGAAAACGATAAGTATCTTTGCAGTTATGTCAACCTTTTTGGGTATTAAAAGGTTGAATCTTTACAGCATCCGAGTGTTAACCAGCTTAGTGTGATCATCATCCTCATAATCATCATATGAGCTACAAGACTCTTCTCCAATGCCTCAAATACGCCTCGCCCAATACCTTCCAGATTGGCCGGTAGAAGACTGCAGGTCCACAGGCCAAATGAAAGCGACAGGCACCTTAATATGCTAGCATCTAAACCTACTCATTAATAAATACGCGATCACAAAATTCAACAAGAAAGCACAATATAAACGACGCCATATTTGATCAATATTGGCGGGAATTTTGACAGCTGTCAAATGGAATGTGTTTTTTTTCTAGCTTTTGGTTGTGGCTCTGTCTAGTTGTGCCAGTTGGTGAGCGATCCTTTCTTCCCGAGCGCGTCTTGCTTGGCCAAGACCCCGTTTCTCTGCGAATTTCGCTATGAAAGTCTCAACTGGCATTTGACCTGAAAATTTAAAGGAAAATCATTTATTTATTATGAATTTTACCTCTTTGAATTCTCTTCCAAATGAAATGTTTAATTACATATCACTTTGTTTCAGAGTCCCAGTAAATTTGAGATATAAAATGGACACAAAACAAATTTTAATTTACATACATTGTAATCAAAAATAATAATTATTATTAACAAATATTTAAAAAGTTTATAGTTAACATTTAACAGAACATTTGACCTACTCACTTAGCCACAGGTCATCTACAGATGTTATTATACACCCTACCTACCCTATTATACCCTATACCCTATAAATAAGGGTATTTATAGGTCCAAACGAATATGACAGTAGTTTGTGTGACCAATAACAGGCTCTATTCACTAATCACTAGGTTCTCGCACAACCAAAGCAATATAACTATGTAGCTAGAGAATAAATTGTATTGTGAACCTGATTGAAAAAGAGTAACCTATAGAGTTTCTTGCTTGTTCTTCTCCATAGGAATCTACACCTTGGAATGAGCAAATAGCTTCACAAAAGTACCATCCTGGTCTAATTGAAATTTGACTTCGAGTTTGACATGAGACACCTGATATCTACGCACCTGTCAAAAACTGCTCCGCAATAACTTCTGATTCTTCGTCAGCCTTCAACGCAGCTTCCTTCAAACAATCCCTAATCCGATGAGGATCATACATCTCCGCTAGCTTCATATGTTTTCTATTCAGTTCTTCAAAGTTCATTTTCATTTGAACGATAGTTGATATACGGTCGATCACTTCAGTCTTCAAATCATCAAGCGCCTGTTGCTTAGCAATATTCTCTTGGGCTATTCGTTCGATACTGGTCATTAATTCTTCGGTTTCAAGGTCTATTTCTACTAGTTGGGGGTTTACTTCTATTATTTTATCCTGGAACATATAAGTTAACTCGTTGAGTACCGTCATTATAGACACAATTATAGAACAATAGGTTGCGGTCACCGGTGACCGCTTGGTGTTTGACAGTTCAATATACATACAGTTTTTTATAAAAAAATACAAATTATACAGGGTGTAAATGAAACGCTTCCGTATCCGCAACAAGTGATGGTAAAAAACATATTTCATTTTTATGAAAGGAAGGATTTAAATGTTTGTTTTATGTGATAACAGTTGTTGTCAACTGTTCTAAGCTGATGTTGCATGAATAATACGAAAACAAAAACTATTGTAATCTTTTATCTGTTGAAACATCGGCTCCCGGTATACAACACATTATATCCGCAACTTTCAACAGACCAGAGGATAAAAATCATTTAATAACTATAAAATTGTACAATTGATTGCCTCGTTGGCCGAGTGGTCGCAAGTGCGACTGCCAGGCAATGGCCTCGGGTTCGATTCCCGGGTCGAGCAAAGTATTGCTGGGTTTTTTGCTAGCAATAGGCTCACCCCCTATTACATGGGACTTATAAATAGTGAACAGTGGGTGTTACATTATACTGTGGCATTAAGTGCCGTAATGTGTCAAAATAAAATAATTTGGTCATATAAGTTGATTTCTTACAGATGGCACTCATTATTATTTCTGTGTTTTGTTTGTAAACTAGTAAATCCTACAGCAAAAAGCATCACTTTTAAATTTTTGTAAACATTTGAATATACCTTCCTTGTCTAATTCAAATAAATGATTTAGACTTTGACTTTGAAAATCAAAATTTGATCAATCAAAACAATTTTAGTCTTATCTATGTATATAGACATTTGTATTATAACTATCGTGAGACATACTAAATAAATTATTATATTTTCGGCTTAGTGGTAGGAGCGCGACAGTCGCAGTGTTGCTGGTCATGAAATGCTGCTCATGTATATGAGCCTATAGCATGGCTTGAAACTTGTTGAGTTCCTTGTCAAATAATAATGTGAGTAAGCCCAAAACATAATAATTTATTATGTGTTTTGTATAAAGGACTTCAGGACAATGATCTAAACTCTAAGAAACTGAACTGAACTGAACTGAACTAAACTTTGAAAATCTAAAAAAAAATTTTAATAATTAAATCAATATAAAGCCAAGCATACCTGTAAATCAGTGTTCTGCAAAATCTCCTGCAACTCCTCAATACAAAAATCATTTAACTCCGGAAACATCAACGACTGACCGCTATAGTTTGACTGCGGACTCACATCATTACTTCTGGATACATCATCAGAATTAGAAAACTTTGGCATTGATTTCTGAAACTCTCTAATAATCGCTTGGACTACACGACCTAAATCTGAATGTAGAGTGTAATTTACCAATCCAGGAGCACCAACAACTTGATTCGAATTTTCTCCGATCCAAGGATGAGGTATTGGCGGATTAACGAAGATTGAAGGCTTCTCATTAGGGAAATCAGGTCCTAATATCACTAACAAGCTCATATTTTTGCCGTCAGCCACAAATTCCACTCTGTATTCCGAGTTTTCGTTGACTTCAGTCACATGATCGTTGAATATCTTTAACGTGTCGATTTGGCGTTTTCTTATGTCTTGTTCGCTGTAATACTGTCGTGGCAACATCTTTGGACGCTGTAGTTACTGTAATATTAACGGGAACCCAATTAGAGTACGCTTCAATAGATGTTTTTATGACACACGAAAAATGGATGATGTGTTTTTTGTTTTTATAGTTTTTTCTTGTTTATGGACACTTTTAGACATGCATCATGTTGTATCCAAGAGTAACTTACCGGTAATTTTATAACAGAAGTTCTTTTCATAATAAATCTATGTTAGATAGGAATTTTCCAAAATATTTTGAGGCGCGATCAATACAATAAACTTTCAATGAAAGAATGTCAAATTGTCATTGCTCCTTAACACATGATAGAAAGAAAAAAAGAATGTCCATACCAAAACATGTAATGAAGAATATTTCTCATTGGCTGGATACACATTGAATACAGTTTTCGACCAATGAAAGCGAATCAAGTTCCTACTAGAAAGCAAATGTCAACGTCATAGGTAATGTAAGCTGTCAAATCAAACACGTTTCGTTACTCCACAATTTCGATTTATGCGGAAATACAAATATTATTATGACATTGTAATAAACAAAATAATAAAGGATGATAAATAAATATTATTTGTTCTGAAGAATTATTTTTTCTTTTTGTTTGTGTCGAGTTGGATAATTTTTATTGGTTTGCGGCTGACAAGCAGCCTTCGATGGGCTTAATTTCCTGTCATGGCAGAAAACCATTAAAATGTTGCGTTTTACCTTTGGGAGAAAACTAGAGCGTGTGAAATTTTTACTCCACTAAGATTAGTAAGACATGGTGGCCACCATCAGTTTCATCACGTACAACTATAAGGTGTCACGTAGGTCTTTAAATAAGACCGGCTTAAAACTTAACAATTATTCATAGTTGAATCAGAGTTTGCTCAATTAATAAGCTAAGTAGCTACTTAATTACATTCCAACAGGATTAATTACCGGAGGCTCAATTAACAATCTCTGAATCCCCGACAATCCTCAAATTCCTAATCCCTAAAAGGCCGATAACGCACTTGTAACGCTTAGTGTTTCGAATGACCATGGGTGGCGCCGATTGCTTACAATTAGGTGATCCGTGTGCTCCATTACCGGGTTATACCATAACAAAAAAAAAAATATAATACTATACCAAAGACATAATACCTATACCTACCGAAAACAGAACACATACACTCATATTCCATCCAAAAACATTTCATTTTGTTTGGAGAGTTTAGAGATAAACGATGGTATCTACTTGACTGCACGGTTGGCGCGGTGGTCGGGCAATTGATTGCCGCGCCACGTGTCGCAGGTCCGATTTCCGCACGGAACAACTCCTTGTGTGGTCCACAGATTGTTGTTCCAGGTCTGGGTGTGATGTGTGTGTGAACTTGTATGTTTGTAAACGTATCCAAGGCTCACGAGAAATTCCTAGTGTGGGGCAACGTTTTTTAAAACAACAAAAAAAAGCAAACCTTCCCGCGCGCGCCTCAAAGAGCCATCAGATCAGACCACCACGGATGGGGCCCAATAGGGCCGATGCCGATTCGGAGTCGCGGAGAATCTAACGGGTAACCGGGGCTCCGGCTCGACGTGCAGGAGAAGGAACGGGGTGATTTTTAGTCAGTAAGAGTCTGACACTCCGCTTTCAATAGTAGGTAATTTAATACGCTTCCAATAGTAGGTAATTTAATACTTTCATTCTAATGTAGACAATCTAGTTTCCTTAGCATCGAGAATTTCTTTTTTATTGAAACATAGAGTTTCTTTTTTCTTGTATATGTTAGAAACACTATTTTTATGGATTGTCAGCATGCACATATGCATGCATAGAGCACCATGTTAGAATATAAGATTATTTTTTGTTTTGTTTTTTATTTTTGTAAATTTTGTAATTAGTATAATGCGTCAAGCTTGTCTTTGCATTGTTTTCACATATACGTACAGTATTGGAATATGTATCAGAGACATTGTAGAACATACTTTTTTTAAAAGAGTAACATTTATTCCAGCTGTTTTTGTTTGCGTAGTTGACGCAGTGATTCAGCGACCATTTGCTGCACAAATGCACAGTGTGTCGCGGGTTAGATTCCCGAAACGAAAAACCCGGTAAACGAGCTGACGGATCACCTGATCGTAAGCAATCAGCGTCGCTCATTGACACCTGGAACACCAGAGGCGTTACAAGTGCATTACCGGCCTTTTGGGGATTAGGGGTTTGAGGATCGTTAGGAATTCAGGAATTCAGATTGGGGAAGGGGAAATTAGGCCTCCGGTAACCTCACTCACACGACAAAACACAACGCAAAGCACGGCACGAATGGGCCGGCTCGACCAGAGTGATTCCACGGTGTGACGCAGTGCCGGTAACGCCTCTTGTGTACCATCAGGTGATCCGTCAGCTCGTTTACCAACTTAAAAAAACAAGATTTGTTATTTTGTTATTGTATGCAAATCGACAAATGATAATAAAGGAAGGAAAATCACGTGAAAATTGGCAAAAACATGCGAAAATTTAAAATTAATGACTATCATTAGGGATTACTAAACGTAATTTGGTATTAAAAAGTTTAATATAAAATGGTACAAAAAATAAAAATGTTTACTAAGTGTAAGAAAAACGAAACTTTTGTTTATGATCTATGAGCTATCTTCGCAATCACACTTTTAATATTATTGTTGAGTCATGCACTCAATGGCCTCCGCTGCGCACTGGAGGGGACGACAGACGGCGGCGTGCGCGGCGACGACCGCCTGCCCCGCACGGCCGCCGTCTCGCTCGCCAGTCAGCTGTTGGACACTACGACGCACGTCCGCGCTCGCGCCTTCTAAACCACAGTTATATTCAATTTCTTATAACCATTATTGTAACAGTCTAGTTAATTATTATATTGCGTATTATACAGTCCACAAGTACATTATTTCTCTCCACTTAACCATCGAACGAACAATTATAAACATATGAAAAGTTCTTTGTTTGGATGTTTGTCCGTCAATCACGCTGAAACTACTGAACGGATTAATTGATGTTATTTGGAATATAGGCGCGGCATACAGTGCCGTATCCTGGATACTTTTTATCCCGTTTAAATGCATCCATAGGATAAAACAGGACTCATATTGTACATGGACGAAGTCGCGGGCAAGCTTGATATAATTTTTTATTGTCATCATTACTACATAGTATAAAACAAAGGCAATCCGCCGTCTGTCTGTCTCTATGTATGCTTAAATCTATAAAACTACGCAACGGATTTTGATGCGGTTTTTTTAATTGATAGAGTGATTCTTAAGGAAGGTTTATATGCATATTGCACCCGTGCGAAGCCGGGGCGGGTCGCTAGCAAGTAATAAAGCTAAATGACGTCACACATTGTCATTCCCGAAGGGGTAGAGAAAGCACATTATCTATACAATATCATATTTCACTTGTTAATACGCTAAGACTGTGTGTGTCTCTTTGAGAAATAGGGTCCGTAACGAGGTGATCCGACAGATAACTAAAGTTAACGACGTAGCCCAAAGGATTAGTAAGCTGAAATGGTAGTGGGCCGATCTCATTTGTCGAAAAACCGATATGGCCATTGGGATCGCGTCTAGGCAAACATAGTACAAGGCGCCCTCTAGCTAGGTGGTGCATGCGCATAACTGAAGACCGAGCTCAGTGGCGTGCCATTGAAGAAGAAGAGAAGAGGAGAGAATAGGGGTGAGCTTATTGCCATATATTAGGAACAATTCGTAACTCCATGTTGTTACTGGGTATTTTTGAAAAACCTAAAAACACGGATGGTACATTACATTACTTTTATCTTTTTTCAGGAAGGATAATCTAATAAGATAATCGTTTACTTTGGTTAGGCCAGAGACAGTGTCAGACTCTTAACTGACTAAGCACCAGTCAGGAGTAAGAAAGGGTTTCTTATACTCCTGCTTCGAGTCGGTGCCCTGGTATATGTGATGATGGTTCAAAAATGACGCTGAATGAATGTGCACCTTTGCCAACTATATTAGTAAATTATCATCATCATCATCATCAGCCTTTATTCGTCCACTACTGGACATAGGGCTCTCCAATGGCACGCCACTGAGCTCGGTCTTCAGCTCTTCTCATCCAACCACTGCCAGCCACCTTGCAGATATCGTCACTCCACCTAGCTGGAGGGCGCCCTACACTGCGTTTGCCTAGACGCGGTCTCCACTCTAGAACACGTTTACCCCAACGGTTATCGGTTCTTCGACAAATGTGACCGGCCCACTGCCACTTCAGCTTACTGATCCTTTGGGCTATGTCGATAACTTTGGTTCTATGTCGGATCACTTCGTTTCGGATTCGATCCTTCAAAGAGACTCCGAGCATAGCCCTCTCCATAGCTCGCTGCGCAACCTTAAATTGGTGGACCAGTCGCACTGTCAGTGTCCACGTCTTCCCAGTAAATTATAGATGATATTAATTATTGTAACGCGGCAATTCGATTTTGGTTTGTGTCGGACGCACGCGCGCTACTCTAGTGGCAACACGCCACATTACTTTGTATATCCCTTCCCCCGCTTCCCCGCCTGACCGCTCGACGCTTGTGTGGAAACGTCATGAAGAGAACAACGAGAGCGAGTCAGACAGAGGTCTGCGCCGGAGCCGCGACGCGCACGCCCCATATTATGTGCCGCGAATATTTTGAATATTGTTTTATTGTGCAACCTTGTTTATGTTTAGTGTAAAGTTTCTATCCAATATATATACAGTTTACAGTTCAATCGTGTGTCGAACTTCAATTAACGCCCTGAGGACCCACTAAGACATTTCAAGTTATTAAAGTGACGCCCAACTTGCGGCAACGAACGAACTGTGCATAAAAATTCAAAGTTACAACAAGTTCTAGAGTTCCTATCGTGCAAACATATATTGTGAACTCTCTCCGATAGTGCAATCATACGAAAACTATTGTAAGACCAGTGCTAATACGAAAGTGAAAACACTTGGGCGAGTCCATTTTCCGCGTGCCGCCGGTTGCGTCTGTAGGTACATACCTACCGACTCGTTGTAGCTACCATCCTCAAAAACATCACCCGTGTTCTTCGAACGAGTAACAGTTGGAATTGCCTGTTATCATGTCGCCGAACAGAAGAACTGGAAGACATAAAGGATCGAATACCGCCACAGATATCGAGTTGAACAGAGCGGTGATTTCGCCCCCGAATGTTACAATCTCCAACATCACTAGGAAGGAGTCAAGTGGAAGCACAGATATGGCTATATCTGTGAGTGGAAGCAAACAGAGTTCTGAATCTGATTAAAAGTATTTTGGCGGGACACAAAAACTCGTTGATTAGGTAGGTACGTCACCGCCGCGCGCCTAAGTCGCCAACGCACATACGCATGCGCCGCGCGCAGGAAACTTCCTTCGCGAAATGCACGGCGCGATTTAACGGATCATCGAGGAACGCGGATGATCTTGAAGCATTTATCGAGGCCACCGAAGTCTACCGCGACTGCACCAACGTCAGCGACGAGCACGCGCTGCGCGGCCTGCCGATGCTGCTGGTGGTAGAGGCCGCCGTCAGGCGACAAGGAGTGAAGTCGTCGATTACGTCGTGGACCGACGCCCTACAACGACTTCGAGGGATGTTTGGAGTGCCGCGACCCGGTTATAAAATACTCCGAGACATTTTCGCTACCGAACAAAATAGTGAAAGGGCCGACGACGTACCTATTTATTTGTAAAGTGCGCGCCTTGTTATCGTAGTACCGTAGGTTATGAAGTTGGACATTATATTCGGGTTGTTAGATCGCAGGATTAGAAAACGCGTGTGTCGTAATTCCATCGACGGGCTGGAGCAACTCATCACCAAAGTCAGGTTAGTCGAGGAGTCACTGGCGGAGGTAAGTTCCCCCATTCTTTATAATAGTACGAATTCTGTTGACTCGTGCGCTGCGTGTGACCGTTCTGACACCAACCCGAGTCCTATCCTTTCGAAGACCGTCGCCGAACCCGTAAGTTCGAAATCGTCATGTAGTGCGAGTTCTTTAGTAAGTTTACGTGATGCGGCCGTGTTAGGTTAGGCATCCGCGTCTAACGTATGTAATAATAGTGACGTACGAAAACGTACGCGACCGAAGTGTAGTTATTGTAAACTTTTTGGGCATTCTGTTGATAACTGTCGTAATAAGAAGGAAGATACTCCTAGTAATAATAATAACGCTCAATTACGTTGCTACGAATGTGGCCAGCTGGGAGTTGTGCGCTCAAAATGCGAAAAGTGTAAAAGTACGCCTGACTCAGGTAAAATTGATTTTTACAGTACTTACATTGTAGGCGTGAGTGATGATGATTCGCAACCGCTGTTAGATATTGAGGTCATTGACCGTTAGGGCCATACTGGACACGGGGGCCACACATTCTATCGCGAGCCCTATGCTGCACGCTTTGCTCGTGAATGCTGGCGTGATATTTAGGACGGTCGTACGTACCGTAGGTCTTGCTGACGGGCCTCAGCAGAAACGTACCGTGTGCCGTCAACGTCACATTAGAAAACCGCGTGATACCCACTACGTTTATGGTGCTATCGAACCGAATGGACAAACGAGGATGCTGTTAGGTACGAATTTCATTATGTAAGCGAATATCCTGTTGGATTTACCACAGTGCAGCTGGCGTTTTAACGACGAGTCGAGTTGACATCCATTTGCCGCCAGCCCCGCTTTACCTGCCACTGATAGCATAGAGCCGGCCGCGCTGACGATTGACAAGGGGGCAAAGTCAACTGTTACTCTGTTGGATATAACAAACCGCTCCGCAAAGGAAGAACACTCGATCGATTACCCAGCTTCGTGTAAAGTCAGACGCGAGCCAGGAACTTCATCGTTTGTCACCTAATCTCAGAGTAGCTTCAATGCAGTGGGAGGGCCAGGAGGAACAGCCCACCGTCATGAATTTTACTCCGTACTTACGACGTACGTCAAACGCGCCGTTTGACGCTCGGGAAAAGAACCGAGTTAGTGAGAAACGTAGCTCCGGAAACCAAGGTCACCCTGTGTCGGTATATTCCGCAGGAGTTGGAGATCTGATTCTTCTAAAAACCCAGGGTAGCGACGATGCGCCCCATGGACAGACTCCGAAGTCCAAACTACGTCATAAATTATGTAGTGGCAAGAATTCGGATAGGGGGAGGATGTAACGCGGCAATTCGATTTTGGTTTGTGTCGGACGCACGCGCGCATCTCTAGTGGCAACACGCCACCTCACTATTCCTCTTCCCCTGATTCCTCGCCACTGCCCTACTTTACTTTACTATACTTTTACTTAACTTTACTGACCGCTCGACGCTTGCGTGGAAGCGACATAATAACAACGAGTCCCGCACCAGAGCTGTGACGCACGCGCTCCGTATTTGTACCGCGAATATTTGAGTTTTATCTTATTTTAATATTGTGCAACTTTGTTTATGTTTAGTTTAAAGTTTTAAACCAATATAGAGGTAGGTATACAGTTTTACAGTCAATCGTGTATCGAACTTTATTTCACACCCCTGAGAACCCACTAAGACAACTCAAGTCCATTAAAATATTTAATTACTTGTTAAACTATTTACAAAGCATTTATTACCCGATAAAAGCGCTAATTAGCAATTACAAGATAAATATTATTATACAATTCAAATTGTATGCAAAATGCAAGATTTAATGTGTTGATTAAATAATTGTTTAAACATAAGATAAATCTTAATTAATCTTATTTTATGCACCAGTACCACTGTACGGGCACGGATAATATTATCGTGGTACGGGTCTCTCGACGGTGACCTGAGGGTGAGGGTAGCGTAGCTCGCCGTCAAACCAGAACCAGACCCATGCGTAAGACGCGTACCGTTCCGCGCGCGTTCAATCAAAGAGCCATCAGACCACCACAAGTGGGGCTTAGTAGGGATGATGCCCTATACGGAGCCGCGGAAGGCTTAACGGATTGCCGGGGCTACGGCTCGAAGAGCAGGGTTAAGACTAGGGTAAACGAGCAGACAGATCGCCTGATGGTAAGCAATCAGCGCCGCCCAAGGACACCAGAAACACCAGAGGCGTTACAAGTGCGTTAGCGGCCTTTTAGGGATTAGGAATTGGATTATTGTGGATTCGGGGATTGGGGAGATTGGACATGACGAAACACACCACAGCGTTGTTTCACGTCGGTTTTCTGCTCGGCCGTGTTCTCACTCCGGTCGAGCCGGCCCATTCGTGCTGAAACTTGACTCTTCCACACTTAAAAGTCTTTAGTGAGCACTAACTATCCCCACGTGAAGAGTAGGGGTAGAGACAATGAGAAGACTGTGTACTTATTATTTTCTGACGTCAGTTTCAATTATAATTTTCACTTTTTCGGAGAAAACGCTTTGTAACAATATGTTTATTGTGAGAGTAAACTTGACCTAAAAATGGCAGACACGTATGACGTACGTAAAATCCATCTAACTATATATAAATAAAAATGAATTTTCGTTCGTTAGTCTCTCTAAAACTCGAGAACGGCTGAACCGATTAGTCTAATTTTGCTCTTGAAATGTTTGTGAAAGTCCAGGGGAGGTTTTTATTTATACATGTATAGATAGATAAATAGCTTTTTAACTTTAACTTTCAAGTGATGAAATGTTGAAGTTAAACCATTTTAACTTCAACATTTCACCACTGTGGGTGTTACTTACGATTTATTATTTAGGTACATCTACTTCCCATTATCAAATAAAATATTATATCTCTTGTATACAGACGAAATGGCATGAAACATCTAGTTAACCTCAAAAGTCTGGGATTTTCTGAATGCTTTATGACGTCATCATTAGTCATGTTTTGTCATAGTATCTTATTATCAAGGGTATTCGCTGTAACATCATAATTTTGGCAGTGAATGACCTTACGTAAATCAAAATATATGCACATATATATATATTCTTCTGTGGATTGGGAATGGCTCCCGCGTACGGCTCAAAGGGCCATCAGACCACCATAGATGGGACGGCTACTAGCGTCGACGCCTAGCTGAGGTTACGGAATAAGTAAAATCATGTTACGGCCCGTTTATGAGAGAATAAGTCTCACACAACTTGGAGTCTAGGTGGAAATAAGTCGCTTGATAGTCCGGTGAGATGATATGTTATTGATACACTAAACTAACCCGTAAACTATATTGTCATCAAAACTGATGATTGATAAGTACTGATTATACTGTATATGAGTGCTGAACGTGTACTGAATACAAATGGGTAGATGCCTAATTTTTATTTTAGAGTCCGTCTGGTAGATTGTTTTAAATTTAAATCATTAGACACGTATTTTTTATTTTCTTACAGAAACGAATACTTTCCACGATATATTGATTTGAAATTTCGTGTGACGTCACTTCTATGTATATTTTATTCGTAGAAATGACGTATTAGCCTTCATTCCTTTTGATTCGTTTTATCTAAGTATTGTTTTATTATATGACTAAATAAAAAAATACGTGTCTAATATTTTTTCAATACCTAACTAGATTCTTAATTTTCATACCCTGTCATCATCCCAATTATAACGAAAGGAATAAAATAAAACTGCTGACATGAATTGCGCGTGCGTGTGATGTACAGTCGATGACTCGTACAGCCCAGTTTGGAGCAGGAGCAGAAACGGGGAAAGATTTCTTCTGTGTGAATTGAATCTGCACAACGTTGCATACCAACCGATTACCGGATTACCCAGCCACTGGCGCCAACTGGCGCTAACCATGTTGCTTTTTTTTAAGTGGTAGATAGGTTTAATTTAATATAGAACCTACATTTAATTACCTAATTAATATTATACGCTACTCGCACACACGGTATAATTAATAATATTTATGACGTGCTTTAATATTATTTTCCACTCGCTGCTAATCTTCAAATAAATTTGTCAAACTTTTGATGTAAAAAAGCTATTTATTTTTTTTTTGAATCTTTATTTAATTTTCAGGGTTTTTTCTATAAAGAAAATGACACCCCGATGATTGTATACAATAGATACTAAACACTAAATAGTTTTTACAACTAACAAAACATAATAATAGGAAATATCTAACCTACCCGCCACCTTAAGCCTATAATTATAATATTAAACAAAGTTCTAGCTTCACCCGACAATGGTGAAGCTAGGATGCTATTATAATACCCTACATTTTGGCTGTTCACATCAAACGCCTGCCGTCTTTGAACCCCAATACGACCACACTCCGCCAGTATATGATGCACGTCTTCTACGACTCCACAAACCGCACAATTGGGTGAATTAACTTTTCGCATCATGAACGCGAAACTGTTGAGTGGGATGTGGCCGGAACGGAGTCTCAAAGCCGTCACAATCTCTGCTCGACTCATAGTGCTCATGTTGAACCAGAGGCCACGAGTAAGTGAGGGCTGGATGGTTTTGTACCAAATTCCCTTAGTTAGAGACCTACAATCGAAGTACTCTGACCAAGTTTGTGAGCATCTCTCTCTAACCAAAGGTAAAAGTTCAGTATGCCACGGTAAACACGCAAAAGGCTCTCCGTCAGATCCAGCTTCATTTGCTAGACAGTCCACAATCTCATTACCCTCCAGTCCAACATGAGACGGAATCCATTGCAGTACTAATGTAATGTCTTTGGCTACGATTTTAAAAATAGATTTTAATATAGTATAAGCCAAAGGCAAACCCCTGTATGGTGTAGTGCATTTTATAAGGTG